CGCAGGTCAGACAGTGGACACGCGGGCCTTCGGTGGCCACGCGGCGCCCCCGAATAAGATGAAAAGATGGCCCGGGGATACTAGGCGCAGCATCGGGCCCACTCGAGGCCGCGCTGGACACAGCGAGCCCCCCCACTTCAGCAGCCCCGTCGCTTGCGACCGCCCACCCCCGATCGCCAACCACGGCTCCCAAGGCGCGATCCGCCGCCGCGAGAGCGACCAAGATGGCCCCCTCGCGGGCCGCCGGCAGCGGCGCAGCAGAAGGAGCGGAGGCGGCAGGGCAGGGGAGGCGTCGCGCACGAGCGCGCGCCATCATTCTCTGCATGGGCCGACGGCGCGCATTCCGCGCGCCCCGGTCGCCCCCGCCCTGTCTCAGAGCTCGCCGAAGCCAGACGAAGGCCGCGTTGCCGGCTCGACCCCCGCCGAACCAGGGGGCGGCGCTGCTGCGCGAGCCGCTCGCGCAGCGAGCTGTGCGCGCGCGGGACGGGCAGCAGATCGCCGGGAGTTGCTAGGAGTACCCCAGGAAAAGGTGCCCCCAGGATCGGAGGCCCTCGGGGAGCAAGTCGAACCAAAAACTGGGATCGGACACAGACTGAGTCCTCGCAATTTGCGCAGCTCGAATCAGCCCCCCGCGGAGCAGCCGCGCCGCCGCGCGAGCGAACGGTCGCCCGCGAGGCCACCCGCCCCAGAGCGCCAACACAACATACGACGACCCATGCCAAGGCCCCCGCGCAGAGACCTTGCAAAGAACCCCGCAATCACCCCGGGAAAAAAACATGTCAATGCCACAAAGAGACCCCTACAAAAACCTCGCCGAGAACCTTAAGAAGACCTTGCAATGCCACGCGATACCCTGCGAGAGACCCTGCTATGCGTCGCAATGCCCTACAGCTGGACCTGCGGTACCTTGCAACTGCGATTCAATCTCTCCAGCACCCAGCCCTCTGGGCGTAGAACGTTCGAGGAATCCTGCCTTCGCTGGGGGCACCCTCTCGGGGCCCCCCCGAAGCATCGGGAAGGCCCCAGGGGGGGCTCCAAGACAGGCCGGAGAGGGCGCCGAGAAAAGCCGCAGAGGGCCCGAGAGGGCCCCAAGAGCGGCCCAAGGGGGCCCCGATGGGGGGCACACGACGCATCTCGCCGAACTCCGTCTGACGGCATTTGGCACGACGCCCGCTAATGCCGAGCGGGCGCTTTCTTTGGGCCCTCTCCGGGCCCTCGCGGGCCCCTCTCTGAAATTTCCGGGAGTTCCTCGCGCCCCTTTGACCGCGCGATATCGTTGGGACCCCAGGCCCCAACGATATCATATAGGAACAGGCTATCGTATGAAATCGCGGGAGCCTGAGCCCAACAGAGCCCCCGCGACCATCTTGGGCCCCTTGCGCGGCCCTGTGCGGGTGCTCTCCTGGGACTCCTGGCGACGACAAAACTGGAGCTATCATTGCATTCCCCGCCGCTCACATCCCTTTTTCCACGGGCACGGGCTGCTCCGTTCTGCGTTTCCTGATCGCGGCGACTCGCCCGGGCATCTTCTCTGAGGGGGGCGGCGGAGATGCGCGAAACGACCGCGATTCAAGAACTGCCGCATGCATCGTCGCAGCGAATGAGGACGCTGCGAGTGAGCCCCCACCACCCCCCGACCTTGGCCTGATCATCATATTTTGGCCCCCTCGCAGCTCAACCCTCAATGGCGTAACGCCGACGCTCGCGCGCGGCCTCAATGATGGTCCCCGCGGCCCGCCACCGAACAGCAACCTTGGCAGCGGGGTCTGCGGCGCCTTCCGGGAGCTCGCTCGCCCGCCCCCCGAAAAACCTGCAGAGGGGCCCGACTGCCCCACCATGCCCCCAGATTGTTGAAGGCTCCGGGAGACCTGCCCTCGGCGACTGCGCCGCGTTCGGGTTGCAACGCAATCCCCCTCGTGTCATTGCTGCCCTCCCCCAAGCAATTTGACGACGCGATGTTGGTGGTGACGCGATTTGACAAATCTTAATTCGACGACGCTGAAACGGGACATGATGACATTTGACGAACTTTAACGAGATATGACGCGGGCGACTTTCCCGAGACATTCTCGCAAAAGTTTGACGCGATTTTGAAGAGTGCCCTCGGAAGGGGAGACTTCCTTTGACGACGGCAACTCTGTGCAAATCTTGAAGCGAAGATTCGTCAAATCACGTCCTCGCCAAACTAAATAAACATCGTCAAACTATGGGACGGGGAAAAGAGGCGCCGTGGACAGCGCAGGGGATTGCGTTGCGACCCGAACACGCCGCACCCGCCAAGGGGGCCACTACCCGGCACGCCCCTCCGAGCTCCCCCGAACTCCTTCGAAATCCCCCCCCCCCCCCCGGGGCCCGGAGCGGCCTTGCCTTCTTTGGAAACCACCTCTCTGAACAAGTTGTGCACCTTCTCTGGAAATCACCCTCCGAACAACTTGTTTTTCAAAGTAGGTCAGGGCCTCTGCGTTTGGAAATGTCCTGAGTTGTTTGAGTAGGTTTGGGCAGTTAAGGATGCTCAAGACCAGTATTGGGGCACTCTTGGGTGCCTCTGAGCGCCCTCTCGGGGACCTCTTACAACTGTCTTGGGGCCCTATTGAGCCCCTCCGAAGGCCCTGGCAAGGGTCCAAGCAGGCCCCGAGAGGACTCCAAGAGGCCCCCAAGAGGGCTTGGAAAAAAGGCCACCCAGGAGGCCTCAAAACGGTCACGCAAGAGAGGCTTCGCGTGACCGCGCTGGGGGCCCTCTTGGAAACGCGTTCGGGCCCTGAGCTGTCTCGGGGCCCCTCCAGACCCCGCCCGCGCCCCCACGGCTCTCAGACGGCCCCAAGAGGGGCCCGAGACCGCCCCAAGAGGACCCCCAGAGCGGTCACGCGTCGCCTCTTTCGCGCGACCGATACTGGGGCCTTCTCGGGACCCTCTTGGAGCTGTCTTGGGGCGCTCTTGAAGCCGTCTCGGGGCCCCCATCGGGCCCTTCCTAGGGCCCTCAGGCGGCTCTAAAAGGGCCCCAAGACAGCTCCAAGAGGGCCCCCAGAGCGGTCACTGAGGGAACCGAACGATGAACCCACGCCGCGACCCACCCGCAACCCACCCGCGACCCACTCGCGACCCATCGGCGCCGCAAACCACCCAAGATCCACCGCGCCGCGACCCGCCCACGCCGAGACTAACAACGAGCAGAATCCGAACCGCGGATCCCCACTTCAGCCACGCACCCAAGGACACTGTGAGACCGTTCGGCCTCCTCACTCAAATTTACACCGCCACGCTGTGAAAAATTCCTCCACGGCCAAACCCGCCTACGCCCCCATGCACGAAAGAAACCTCGCTAGACGAGATCCTACAATTTAGTTCCGCGCCCGCGGCCGACGCAGAAATGAAGTCGGCCGGCGTTTGGGCCTACACCGCAAGGCACCGGCGGGTCTCCATGGCCGCGGGCACGCCTGTGAAGTTGCCCTACTCCCCCGGCCAGACGCACCATTGACACCCTGGATGCTTCGCGATGTTTTCGATGACGGCGGACCATGTGAATGGGCGACCCCTCTCAAGAAAGCGTTCTCACCTGGGGCCCGAACGGAAGCACCGCTGGAAAGCACCGCGCGAGCATATCGCGCAAAGGCCCCAGCATCGCGCACGTCCGGGACGAGCCCCTGCGCGCCGCTTCAACGCTGAGGCGCTGATCTGAACGCAAGGCGCGAGGACGTACCCATCGCCCCCGGGGGCGCCTCGGCCCAGGGGCATCTCTAGCAACACCCGAGATCGAAACCTTTTTGGGGCGGCCCGTGGGCGTCGCCCATGCTCGAGCCGACCGCCGCCATCGGCCGCGCTAGAAGCGTGGCCTACCTCTTGGCGCCCGTCATCTCGGCGCGGAAGACGCCGCGGATGGCCCAGGGCAGCGCGCGCAGCTGGGCCCCAGCCGCCACGAAGAAGCCGGGCCACGCACCGCCGCGGAGGTCGCCCGCGCGGCCCTGCAGGATGTCCACATCTGCGCGCGCTGGGAACCGCGTCGCCCCGGGTCGCGGGAGGCCGCCCATCTGGTCGAACATGCCGCGGCAGATGTCAGCGCACTGGCCCCGCGCGCCGGCCAGCTCAGGGCCCCGGCCCTCGATCTCGGCGGCCAGGGCCGACAAGTCAGCGACAGCGCGGGAGACGCGCGGCATCAGGCGAAGCATCTGCAGGAAAGCCCAGCGCCCCGCGCGGCCGACGGCCTGGCGCCGCCCAGGCAGCGCGCCAAACACTGCCCCTGACGGGCATGTCGCGGTCGTTCAGCTGCGCCACGGCCCGACCGCAGCGGCGCAGCTCAGGCCGCGCGGCGTCGAAGCCCGACCCGTCGCGGTAGGCTATCCTGCTGCGCGAGCTGGGCGGCGACTCCCAATCGCCCCAGAAATGCACCTTGGCCTCCAGCGCTGCCGGCCTGACTAGCTGCGGGAGGAGCGGCAGGCCGACCACCAACGCGGTCATAATCAGTCCTGGTGGGCGACGCCGACCCCAGCGCCATCCATGATCCTGTCACGTAGCTTGGCAGCTCCTCTAACTTCACTCCGCCCCCGTCGTCGCCCCGCGTCCAGATGCGCGGGCACTCATAGAACTGATGCCCCTTGATGCACGGCGCGCCGCCTGGGCAGAAAGAGCAGACCGCCGACGCGATGTAGCCCATGGCGCGCCTCTTGACCGCGGCCTGGGGCGGAGCCACAACTTGCGCAGCTGCCCAACCCGCGCGCCCTTCACCGCGGCCCGGGGCGGAGCCAAGACCCTGCGCATAGCGCGGTGCCACAGCACAGCGTCGGCCAGCACCGCCTCCTGGTGGCTGAGAATCCTCCGACCCTGCCATCGAGCGATACCCGCTCGAAGGAGGTGGGCCACATCCTTGGGCGGCGTCTGCAGCAAGTGCAAAATCTCGCCCTCGCCGGTGACCAGCAGCAAGCTGGAGCGCATCGTCCAGCCGATTCTCAGCAGGCTCACCCACGCAGCTGCCATGGGCCCGCGGAGCCCATGCCTCCAGCCTCCAGTTACTGCCAGGCGCGCTGCGGCCCCGCCAGCGGCAGGCGCTCGTCCCAGATGAACTCGCAGTACTTCATGGCGGGGAGCAGGGTGACATCGAAGATCGGGTACAGGTAGGGATCCCGCTGCGAGGCGAGGTGAAGCGTGATGGAATCGGAGCCAACCCCGCCACGGCCGCTGCATAGCATGGTCTCGCACCGCACGAAGAGCAGCGCGAGCGTGGCGAAAGCGGCGTCCGAGGCGAACAACATCGCCGTGGGATGCATGCAGCCGTGGCCCACCGCAGTCTTCCAGCTGAAGGACTGCGTAGTCTCTCGCAGCTGCGGCACGTCGAGCGGCGGCAGCTGTGTCCAGCTCGATGCATCGCCGGGCAGCGGCAGCCAGTCGGCGCCGCGAGCGAACCACAGCTCCTCCCACTGGTCCATGGCTGTCCCGGCCAGCGCGTAGGGGTCCGCCTGCCCTGGTTGGCTCAACACCTCGAGGCGTTCCTGGAGCGTGGTGGCCCGATGGGCGCAGCCTGCCCCGTTCTTGAACGCATCGTCGACCCAGCCGCGCCATCTCGCGGCCACCGCCGCCTCGTGCTTCGCCTGGAGGAGGCCTCGGGCGTCATGACAAGGTCTCCCATGCGCTGGTGACACGGGAGGATGATGAGCACCTCCAGGCCAAGCGCGAACGGCTGCTGGACCTCGGCTGGGATCTGCTCCCAAACGTAGCGCGCCTCGTGGACGCGGCCCAGAAAAGGCCAACAGGTCCACCACGTTCTTCGCCACCCTTGGCGGGCGAGGCCCAGGGTCGTGCACGCACAGCGTGATGAGCTTCACGAGCTGCGCCCTTACTCTCGTCGAGGAGGAGGGGGAGGAGGAGGAGGAGGAGGAGGAGGAGGAGGGGGAGGAGGAGGAGGAGGAAGAGGAGGAGGAGGAGGAGGGCGGGTCGCCTGAGCCCTTCGGAGAAACCCTCCGCCCCAACCCAACCCGAAGTCACCGCTTGGCTCGCCGACTTCCGGCGGGGGGGGCACTCCAGGAACATTGAGACAACACGACGGGGCCCGCACGCCCCACCCAGCCCGAGATTCGGGGTGGTCCAGAGCCTTCGGGCTGGGTGGGGGTGGCTTGGTGGGCAGTGAGCTGGAGCCACGAGCGGCAGGAGCATAAACTTTTGGAAGTCTGGCCGGATCGCTTAGATCTGCGCTGGACCCCCCCTCCTCCTCCTCCTCCTCCTCCTCCTCCTCCTCCTCCTCCTCCTCCTCCTCCTCCTCCTCCTCCTCCTCCTCCTCCTCCTCCTCCTCCTCCTCCTCCTCCTCCTCCTCCTCCTCCTCCTCCTCCTCGTCGTTCTGCGAGAGGCACCACAAGCTGCATGACTTTCGGAAGTCTGGCCCCGGACTTCTCAGATCGGCGCTGGGCCGCCCTGTGGGGAAACCAAAGAAATACCGATACCGCTACTCCCCGAACCTCTCACGGAGTGCGTTCTGACCAGGATTTCGAGGCGAATCCAGCGGTGGCGACGAGGGCCTCCAGAGGCCCAGAAAGATGAGAACGAGGGCAGGGCCGCGGAGTGGGTGCCACTTCCTCCTCCGACCCGGAAGCTCCAGGTGCTGCAAGAGGAACCACGTACGGCACGACACAGACACTCTTGGGAGCCTGGCCGGACTTCTCGGAGCGGCGCGCCAGACCTCTGGGCCGCCCGGCGCCGCCTCGTGGCGCTCTCCGCGCGCCAGGGGAGGGGGCCCGCGCGGAGCCCCAGAACGTCGTTTCTGCCGTGGCTTGTTTACGTCGTTGGCTGTTATATGCCGTTGTCTGTCCTTCTGTTTGTGTCATGGTCCGTTCCCCTCGCCTCGCCGATGCAGCGGCGATGCGTCGGCGACGCCTCGACGAGGCATCGGCGAACCCTTCTGCGGCCGCACCCTTCCTCGGCGGCCCCTGCTTCGGGCACGAGGCGCACGGCCCCCGAGGGGAGCGGGTCCTGGCCCAGCGGGGGGCCTTCCTGGGCCGCGCGCCCCAGGGTCTGCTGCTCCTGCCGCTGTCTCCCGTGTGTTGTCCCTGCTCTTCGGTGAGAGGCCACTGCACTCGAGGAGAGCCCACCCCCTTGTTCCCAGGGATCTCTCGATTCACCCTGGTTGCCCGCTTTGTTCCGCTGTACGTGACTCACCGTCCCTTTTACCGTCAGCTCTCATGGGCAGGGCTTCTGAATGGACTGGTGGGGGCACGCGAAACGCGGAGAATTGAAAAGATCAGCATGGGGGAAACGGGTCCTGAGGGAAACGGGTCCTGGAGCCTTCCCCAGGGCGAAAACCTTCATCCTGAGGCATCCTCTGACAGTCCAGGGGCCCGTGGAAGGCCCCGAGAGCCTGAAAATGGCCAAAAAAAACTCAGGACCCGTTTCCCTCCTGACCTGCTTCCCCCACGGCGATGAAAAAAGCCCAGCGATTCGGCGGCACGCAAGAGTGACCCTGGGCAAGAGTGCCCTTTGGAGAGCGGCTTTGGGGGGGCGCGAGGGGACCAAACTCAAGCG